ATGAACGTGTTTAGTTTCCCATTCTACCACTACAATATTGTCATTTGGTGCCATGGCAACACCAGATGTGTGAGGTAAATCCACTAGAATCTGATCAATGTATTTGCCATTGCTGTCAAGTATCTGTATTCTTTTGTTAACAGCATCTACTACCAGAACATTGCCCTTCTTATTAACAGTAACGCCTACAGGTCTTTTGAATTGTGCATGGCCCTGTCCATTTCTACCGACTTTCCACTGTCCCTTCGTATCAATTACATCAATGATGAATGCTGGCGCATCATATATGTCTACAATTAATTCATGGCGTCCTACCTTGGTAGGTTGAAAGGTCACCTCATATTCAGTGCTGCCGCGCATTTCTACAGGTCGACTGTCAGGACTATGACAGGTAAGGCTTCCATGTCACCACAGTCTGCGAGATAACGAATGGTTGTTGTAAATTCATATTAACCATTCTCCCATGTGTATTAACGTCACACTTGATCTTTTTTGCTGGTTTTACATTGATGATGTATGGGCTGCCCTCTATCGGCGTACTGTATAACGTAACAGCCGCGTGGTGTTTACCCCCGCTCTCTGGTATATACATTACCGTGTAAGTCACATCGCCATTGTCTTCAGTAGTGGTGACAACATTTCGGTTATCAGGGTCATTTAGTGTGACTTCTACAGGAATTGCAGATACACACAGTTTCTTACCATTAATATCACATGGGGTTTGAGTGAAATTACATTTTTTGCCAATAACTGCATCAACCTTGATAAAGTCACAACTTATCTTTCCTAGAGACCCAATAAACACTGTATGATTTACCACATTTAGATTTACACTCTTGGGATGAAAGAATCGTGGGAACTGTTCTGTCGTTGATTTGTGATCCGGTATTGTTTGTGATGAGACCTTGTCTAGTTGACTGCATACATCGTATTTAGTTGTCAATAGTTCCACATCACTGTCATATTTTAGTGTGAATTCTGTGAATTTCACAGAAGTGTCGACGATATGTTGTCTCATTTGTAGTTTGTGTTTATCAATAATGAGCGGTGTTTCTATTACGTCGTGTTGCTTCTCAATTTCACAGACCAACTGTTGTTTTCTACTGTTGATTTTTTTGATTAAATCATTGAAGAAATTATCAACATCTGTTATTTGTTTTGTAGTGTTATCTTTAAGGTTAGATAATTCTTGATTAATTTGATTAATTTGAAGAGATATCTCCCTAGTTTTATCGATTGCTTTGTCAAGTTTGCCGTTGATTATTTCCTTGTACTTCCACGCTGCTTTCTCAGTGTTGATTGGCTGGTGATTAAGCGTATTATGTTCTAAGAGGGCGCACTGCAGACAGATTGGCGACTGACAATTGCGATGATCACAGTACAGGGTTATTTGCTGATCGGTATGACCCTGCCCTTTTGAACTGAATTGTTTACGATGAAAGAATGAGATAAGCGACTCGTCTGATAAATGTTTTAATTCTTCAATGGTTTTCACTTCATGTGTGCTCAAAGATTCAATATAAATATGGTTGTCATGACAACTTTGGCAAAGATACGCCTCAGAATTCGAACAATGTGAAACATTCAGTGTTTGTTTGTTACGGCAACAGCTTTTATGCATTAGCAATTTGCCGTGTTTGATCTGATTCTGGTGACAAAGTAATTGATTATAATTTACAAATGCAAAATTGGTTGGAATTACTTCAATTCGTTTGGGAATGTTACTTTCATGTTTACATCCGGGACATTGGAATATTTTACCAACATGGCCAGCGAGACAAAGTACACAGAGTGTATGTAGACACGGAAGATACTTTGGTAATCTATCGGTGACATCATACACATGTTTACATATTGAACACTTCAGTGGAAGCTCTGCATCATCTATACCCGCCATTGTAGTCATCTGTAAAATACTAGTACAGTACATATAAGATTTGATTGTCTGTACAGGTTATCGGCAGTCGCATATTTATGTACTGGCGTATTGGGGTAATTGTAAAACTCACCAATTTACTGCTGGGTTACACACAATTAGAAACAAATATAGGCAGTTACAAAGAAATAGGAACAAAATAACTCTCAACAGTTTGACAACTGTAACTCATCTTCGATGATATTTCTATCTGATCTAGTGATTCAAATTTAATACTAATATTTCTATCTATCTAGTGATTCAAATTTAATACTAATCTTTCTATCTGATCTAGTGATTCAAATTTAATACTAATATTTCTATCTGATCTAGTGATTCAAATTTAATACTAATATTTCTATCTGATCTAGTGATTCAAATTTAATACTAATATTTCTATCTGATCTAGTGATTCAAATTTAATACTAATATTTCTATCTGATCTAGTGATTCAAATTTAATACTAATATTTCTATCTGATCTAGTGATTCAAATTTAATACTAATATTTCTATCTGATCTAGTGATTCAAATTTAATACTAATATTTCTATCTGATCTAGTGATTCAAATTTAATACTAATATTTCTATCTGATCTAGTGATTCAAATTTAATACTAATATTTCTAGTGATTCAAATTTAATACTAATATTTCTATCTGATCTAGTGATTCAAATTTAATACTAATATTTCTATCTGATCTAGTGATTCAAATTTAATACTAATATTTCTATCTGATCTAGTGATTCAAATTTAATACTAATATTTCTATCTGATCTAGTGATTCAAATTTAATACTAATATTTCTATCTGATCTAGTGATTCAAATTTAATACTAATATTTCTATCTGATCTAGTGATTCAAATTTAATACTAATATTTCTATCTGATCTAGTGATTCAAATTTAATACTAATATTTCTATCTGATCTAGTGATTCAAATTTAATACTAATCTTTCTATCTGATCTAGTGATTCAAATTTAATACTAATATTTCTATCTGATCTAGTGATTCAAATTTAATACTAATATTTCTATCTGATCTAGTGATTCAAATTTAATACTAATCTTTCTATCTGATCTAGTGATTCAAATTTAATACTAATATTTCTATCTAATCTAGTGATTCAAATTTAATACTAATATTTCTATCTGATCTAGTGATTCAAATTTAATACTAATATTTCTCCCAGTGTCAACTCTTCACTATATTAGCTTAAGTGGAACCAGCAGTAAAACCAACTTTGACTCGAGGTGGTAATTAGTTATACACTATGTGACACAATGTAACTACTCAATGGTGCAAGAACTATCAACCCTACGGGTGATTTGTTTTATGTAGCTTCATGATTATGCCACCAACTGCATGGACTCACAGACGCGGCATCACAGAAAAAGGAAGGGAGTTTCAAGCCTGGTTACATTTCTCATTTACATTTTATTTTTGGATCTGTAATAGAACGATGACCAGAATAAGATGTCCCGTACAACGCTTGGTCACATTGTGTCTTCGAATAACTGCATTTTATTTCTATTTTTATTAGCACATTATCTTTCAAATTTCAAGCATTTTGACAATGACTGGATTTTTTTTTTAAAGTGCTGCATTGTAATCATATTAAAATCTGGGATAAAATTGCTTGGTGTCCTAGTTTTTGCGTTAATAGCGATACGGAAAGAGTGTACTCTATGCGATGTAGGTTGTTGGGTCAGTGCAAAGTGCACATGGAAATGAAGGTAGACGATAGACGGCGCAATAACACATACTAAACTGGTCAACTAATGTAACAACTGTTTCTGGCTTTTACTCTGTAGTCTGCATGGGCGTAGGTAAGCCTAACTAGGTTTCGATTGTATACAGCAGCGCCACCAGTGGTTGTTCCCGGCTCCATGTGTCGAGTAGACACTACTCTGCATTGGGGTTTGTGACAATAAAACTGTACAATTACGAGTTCATACAAATTATTAGTTTTGCCAAATTATTATTATTGAAATGATTAAAACAAATAATCGTATTGGTGGATTTCTATTGTATTGCGGGTGAATGTTTGGAATAGGTAAATGTGTATACTCAGTTGCTATGTACAAAGACTATAAATCCTAAAACTTATTGTAGTTGATTATTATAAAATACAACCCCTGCGCCGCCCCTCGCTGTATGTATGGTGAGTTGCGGATAAAATACCGTGGTACTCATTCCCAAAGTGTCTGTGCATTTCCATTAGAATTTTACAGAAGAAGGGTACGTGGAGGGGTCGAAATCTGATACGAAAAGACGACAGATTGCAGTTCACCGAAACGCTAAACAGACCGGCTAA